CCATCATTGAAAGAGAAAAAAACTGGCCCAGGTGTCCAGTTTCCATCATGTGACTGTACAGTAAAAGGAGATAAGAATTGTGTGAATCTGAACTTCTGACTGGCAGATGGTACCCACTGCCACCAGTTTAACTGTAAGTTTAAATCTGGTATATTAAAGACGGTTCAGGAACATTGATGTCTAGCATATGAAAGTGTGGGATTTACAAGGGCCATTAAAATCAAAGACTTATTACCATTCACAATTGCTACAAAGAAAATAAAATACCTAGGAATATACTTAACCAAGGAGGTGAAAGATCTCTACAAGGAGAACCACAAAACTCTGAGGAAAGAAATCACAGAGGATACAAACAAATGGAAAAACATACCATGTCATGGATAGGCAGAATCAACACTGTTAAAATGTCCATACTATCCAAAGTGACTTACAAATTCAACACAATCCTCATGAAGTTACCAAAGTCATATGTCATAGACTTCACAGATATTTCATAGAAAATATTATAATTCTATGTTTCATTTGGAACTGGAAAAGAGCCCAAATAGCCAAAGCAATCTTAAGCAAAAAGAACAAATCTGGAGGTATCACATTAGCAGACTTCAAACTACACTACAAGGCTATAGTAAGCAAAACAACATGGTATTGGTACAAAAAACATAAACCAATGGAATAGAACAGAGAACCCAGACATAAAACCATCCGACATAAAACCCACAACCAACTGATCTTTGACAATGCAGACAAAAATATTCACTAGGGAAAAGACGCTCTATTCAATAAATGGTGCTGGGAAAATTGGATAGCCACATACAGAAGAATGAAACAGGACCCCTACCTCTCACCACTCACAAAGATTAATTCAAGAAGGATAAAAGACTTACATCTAAAGCATGAAACCGTAAGAATTCTAGAGGAAAATGCAGGAAAAACCCTTCTAGATATTGGCCTAGGAAATGAATTTATGGAAAAGACCTCAATGTCAATCATGGCAACAACAAAAATTAATAAATGGGATTTGATTAAACTAAAAAGCTTCTGCACAGCTAAGGAAACAATCCAGAAAGCAAATAGACCACCTACAGCATGGGAGAAAATATTCACAACCTACACATCCAATAGAGACTAATAACCAGAATTTACATAGTACTAAAGCAAATCAGCAAGGAAAAAACAAACAACCCTAATACAAAGTGGGCAAAAGACATGAACAGACAGTTCTCAAAAGAAGAAAGAAAAATGGCCAAGAAATATGAAAATCATCAGGGAAATGCAAATTGAAACCACAATGACTCCTCACCCCAGTTAGACTGGCTCTTACTAAAAAGTGCAAAAACAATAGATGCTGGTGTGGATGCAGAGAGAAAGGAATACTTATACACTGTTGGTGGAACTACCAATTAGTCCAACCTCTACGGAAAACAGTATGGAGAGTTCTCAAAGAACTAAAAGTAGACCTACTATTCGATCCAGCAATTCCACTACTGGGTATTTACCCGAAGGAAAAGAAGTCATTTTATCAAAAGACACCTGCACTTGAATGTTTACTGCAGCACAACGCACAACTACAAAGATGTGGAATCAACCCAAGTACCCGTCAATTCATGAGTGGGTTAATAAAATGTGGTATAGGTACACCATAGAGTACTACTCAGCCATAAAAAAAAGATGAATTAATACCTTTTACAACAAACTGGATGGAATTGGAAACCATTCTCTAAGTGAAGTATCACAAGAATGGAAAAGCAACCACCGCATGTACTCGCTATTAAATTGGAACTAAATGATGAATACACAAGTGCACAGAGGGAAGTAAAACTCAGTGGAAAGCAACCAGGCGGGAGAGGGTCTGAGGGGAGGAGAATAAACCAACTTAACAGGTACTAGAAACACTATTTGGGTGACAGGCACACACATTTATTGAATAGAGCGTCTCAAGGACTCAAGCATTACAAAAATGATCCATGTAACCTAAAACATTTGTACTCACTTAGCATCTCGAAATAAAAATAAATAAAATGTAAATTAAAAAATTACTAAACCAGTAAAAATGGTATTAGCCTTAAGCAACTTTTCTCTTAAATCTTTTGGACACTTTTTCTTTTGGTTATCTCTAGGCAAAGAACTTTAATAAATCGTATACTATTATTGACATCAAAAACTAGTGTAATATATACAAAATTATCATTTTATATCAAGAGAAAGTTTCTGATGTTGGCAACAGTGTAAGTCCTGCCAACTTCTAAGTGGCTGACATATTATACCCACCCCTATAACAGACCCACTGGGACTTTGGTGAACATGATTCTTTCTCAGTATAAAGTCCTCTTTCCCTGAGAAAACATACAGATGGAGAGATGAAGAGAGTGTATCCAAAAGGAAGGGGGTGAGTGGCTGGGAATCTTGTTCAGAAAGCATTCCCAGGGGTCCTTGTGCCCAGAGCTTAGAACTTTACAGGAACAAATGACCAGTACTTAGGCTGCTTTCTGTCACAGTGCTTATCAAGCACAGCTGCACTGAAGCTTCCATTGCCTGGATCTTGGTGGCACTGTTCCAGTATAACCATTTCATCTCAGCCTGTTGCAGCTTGCCAGGCCTCTAGGACAGGGGCTCCACTGACCAGTGGGTATTGTAGTATAGGTGGTGGTCGACATGCATGTAGTCGTCCAGGTGCTTCATATCCAGCCGCCACCACGGCTGCTTCTGCTGCTGCTATTACTACCATCACTGCTCTTCTGCCTCTTGGTCTCTGAAAAGTACTCAAGGAGCTCCTCAATGATTTCCATATTGCTCAGAGCACATTCTGCCTCCCCATCTGATTCAGTTTCTATCTCCTCCTCCTTAGACAAAGCTTGGTCTTCTCTTGCAGATGTCTGGATCCTATTGCTATCATGTAGATTCTGCACACACCTTCTATAATTTGAGTGACTTCAGTGGGAGTCCTGAGAGGCTACGCAATAGCAAATGAGGGACTCGTCATCATAAGGGCTTTGGGGAGAAATGCAGGAGGGAAGTGCCATGGAGCACTGAAACAGGATTCCAACCAAGGCCTTCCTGTAGGTGTTCTGGTTGCTTCACATTCACACACAGACAAGCCATTAGTTGATGATAATGTTGCCATTATCTTGCATACACTAGATGAGAACACCAAGACTCAGTAGCTTTTCATGTTGATACCTTTGCTGCCATCTCTGATCATGAAAGTCCAAATGCGCACTAAAACTTTGCAGCTTGCAGATCCTGGTCATTGGGTGACCAGGGGCCTATTTTTCAGTGGGAAGACAGGGGTGCGTGGGAGGAAAGGCCTGTGGACACTGACTTTTTTTTTTTTTGAGACAAGATCTCACTGTCACCCAGCTGGAGTGCAGTGGCGTGATCACAGCTCACTGTAGCCTCAAAGTCCTGGGTTCTAGCAATCCTCCTGCAGCAGCCTCCGGAGTAAATGGGACTATAGGCGTGTACCACCATGCCCAGCTGATTTTTCTATTTTTTGTAGAGACAGGGTCCCACTCTTGCTCAGGCTGGTCTCAAACTCCTGGCCTCAAGCAATTCCCCTGCCTCGGCCTCCCAAAGTGCCAGGATTACAGGTATGAGCACTGGTCTTGGACACTAAGTCTTAAAACTAATTTTTTCCTCTTTAGTTGTAAGGACACTCATGTAAGGATGTGTTGTAAGGATGCTTCTCTAGCATACTTATAGGACATATTTTTGTATCTGAATCTAACTACAGCTTTTTCTTTGGTTTAATTTATGAATCTATTCATTTTTAATCCTGTTATATAGGTATTTCTCAACCACTGTAAACAAGATTGAAGGTTTATAAATAAATATATGCCATCCTAAAGACCACAAAAAAAAAAATCTGACACAAAAGCGCAAACAAATTTATTAATCAGGGTCCTTCAACACATCTAAAGAGTATATTCACGTAAAAGAAGAGAATATACCTGATTGCTAAATAGTAGGGTTTGAACAGATTTCTATGCCAAAATATTTCAAAGTACTATTTGATACAGGCATACAATAGGTAAATAATACTGGTACATTCCATTTTTATCAGCATGTTTACTTAACAATTCTAAATGTATAATTCAAAGATCCAGAAGACTAGTAGAGACCTGAAACCCTTTCAGGAGGTTTGTAAAGTTAAAACTATTTTCAGAAGACATTATTTACGTTTCTCACTCTTGTTCTCTCATGCATGTACAGTGTAATTTTCAAGAGGCTACATGATATGTGATAAGGTCATCACACTGATAGCTAATGGGATGTGTACTTAATTTCTTGTGTTCCAAAAAATTAGTTTTGAAATCTAACACGGTAACTATTGATAAATATAAATAAAATATTAAAGCAAAAGCTCTTTGGGTGCTCAATAACTGCAAAGAGCTGTAAAAAGGTCCTGAGACCAAAATAGTGGAGAACTGCTGGTTTAACCTATGAATTAACTTGCTGTTTTCAAATCAAGCCTATTTTCTAGTTTTCAAGAACAGAAAGAAAATTTTAAAAGTTGGCAATTCTAGAAAAATGATCAAGCAGATATAAGACATTATTCTTTAGAGAAAACATAATATATTGAATTAAATAATGAACAACTTAAAAAACAAAGAAATGTTAACAGAATTAATAGAAACCTAATAAGCAAGAACTCTGAAAATATGCACAATTAAGTAATAAGCAATTGGCAATAAGAAAATGTACAACACTTCAATTCAAACACCACTTTAAAAAATTAAGGGGTAGCCTTGACTCTCTGCAGCAAGTTAATCCCAAAGCCTCTCATAGTCCTTTATTCTGCAAAGAGTCAGCAATGAGAACTATAGATTTAAAGGAATTTCTTTCTTTCTCTTTAGGAAACAAAAATAAAACCCTAACTAAACAAAGTTTCTAAGTTAACCAAATAGTTGCTCAAAGAAAGAAAAGGCAATATTAAAAGATAGTTCCTTAGGGAACTTAATATTCTTATTTTTCAGAAGGAAAAAAAATTTGGTTAAATGTACCTGAAAATGGCAGGGTTGCAGACATGCTGTGGATCCAATGCTTCTCCTTGTATAAACTCATAGCACAGTCCGTTATTGAAGGTACAGTAGAGTTGTGGTGCACAGCCATGAGCCTGCAACACTCGAAAACTCTTTACTTCCTCATCTCGATCGACTAACAACTCAGTCTTATTGCCATAAATTCTCACCAGGACTACATCCTCCATGGTATTACCCACATAACAGCCAATAAGTTTATTTGTGATTCCATCTGTGAAAAGCTGCCAGAAAAAGAAAGAAATGGGGGGGAAAAGCAATTATATATTTTTAAGGAATAGGAGATAATTTGAAAATAATGAGTTAAATACTAGTTAAAAGAAAATACATACTTCTTAACATAAAAGAACCTTTGGATACCATTTTGTCTAACATGTCTAAAACTTTAATTCCAGATTTAAACAAAAAGGAATGCTAATATTTAACATGTTGCCCTTAATTACTATAACATCATGATTCAAAAGTGTTAATTATTCACTGTCTTCATTATGTCTATGTAACTTTTTTGATACCTGTTGTATCTCACAGTCTGTCTTGTACTGCAGTCATTGTGTGTGTGTGTGTGTGTGTGTGTGTGTGTGTGTGTGTTTATGTACACACAGATGATCCATCCTATGTCTGTGTGTGTGTGTACACACAGATAATCTCTCCTATGTCCAACAGACTGATAAGTCTCTGAGGATGGGAACATTGCCCTCTTCTCAGTATGGCACATTACATACAGAAGTCCTTAATAATGTTCACAGGTTTAAATATGCAAATATAATCTACCATAATTTACATATGGTAAATCTCCAATTTATAAAAAACTCAATTTTAAATATTAACTTTAAAGATTACTTAACATGTATTAAGCACTGTGTTAAGCACTCATGGTATAATATAGTTTAAACTTGAATGCTATGGCTAAAAAAAGGAAGTGCAACCTTAACTAAAGGAAGATAAAGAGCTAAGTAGCTATTGCTATGCTATTTTCTAAATGGGACTTTTGGGACTTTTCAAGAGCGTTAAGTCAAGTACTTCAAATACTTTTTTAGATCTCAGCTCAGAAGGTATATTTAAAAAGCAAACAGGTGATTAGCAATACTAGTTCTCAAAGTCTATTCAAAAATTGTAACTTATATTTTCTCCATACTAACTTGACACTAAAACTAACTCTTCTATTTACTTAATTATAATTCAGAGCTGTTAGAGGCTCTCAAGTGGAAGAAAGGAAGAAAAGAAAAAGTGAAAGCAAGAGTTAAGGACATTTTTTTCAAGACAACTGGGTAAGAAAAGGACAAAAAAACAGAAGGTAAGTTTTAAAACTATGTATGTACATTTAACAAATGCCTGAGAAAAAGAGTAGGCATTTCTATTTCAATTGGAAATAGAAGCAAGAGTTAAGGATATTTTTTTCATGACAACTGGGTAAGAACAGGAAAAAAGGACAGAAGATAAGTTTTAAAACTATGTATGTACATTTAACGAATGCTTGAGAAAAAGAGTAAACATTTCTATTTCAATTGGATTCTTATGACAATAAATGATACATGAAAAGCTTCAGACCTTCAGATGAAGATTTTAAAGAAAGTATTTACAAAAATGAATATGTACCTAACAATTGTTTATATAATGGTTTGTATTATTAAATATATACAGAGCTTAGCTGTTAACCTGTTACCAATTCACCTAATGCAAGTAAAACTGCATAAGCTAATGTAAAGAGACTTGAGTATCTATGTTTTTAGATACGCACACACATACAAGTATTGCTTTCCACCTAGATTTCAAAAAGCCTATATATGAAAGAAGACATTGCCAAGAAGTGTATGTACTTAAACTAAATGCTAATCATCATTTTATTAAACTCTGTGTTGAAAAGTATGTCATTTCTTATTACAATGCCATATCAACTCACAAATGCTATTCTGTAACTACTTCAGATGTCATATATAGTTATATTGATTCAATTACTATAATAAAGATTGAGAAACTACTTAACATTCTGAAATGCTTATAATGAAGGACGCTTTGGACTCCTCAAATTCCAGAAATCATCATCTCCATTTTCTCTATCTTCACAGCAAATAGTAAGTACTTAATACTTAAACATTAGGACCCATATATTAATGTCTTCTTTATCTAGCTTATAAAAATTGCATTCTTTCATTATTGCCTATAACAATAAATTCCTTAACTGAACATGCTATATGACACATTTATGTGTACTTACAAAAACATACATATAAAGATACATGCACTTAAAGGGCTAGAGAAAGACAAGAAGATTACTGAATATGGATTACTGACCACTATATAAACATTTATAAAGATGACACAAGGTCACAACTCCAATGACCCTAACTGTAACTTTCTGTATGGTACAACAACCCCATACTTGGCAATGAAATGATACTCAAAGTAAATCTCTAAAATAAAAAAAGAAATATATAAATACTGTAACTCTACATTTATAAAAATGTTTTACCTACAAATAAGGATTAAAATGTCTACAAAGATATTTAATAAAATACAAGGCAGTTTAAATCTTGTTTCTTATTTCTCCATAAGTAGTTTAAACTTTTTTCTTCTCGTTTACGTATGTTTCCTCACTTGTTTTCTTCTGCAATGAACCTTGTTTACTTGTGAAAAAACTAGTGAGAAAGAGAAATACAGTCCAACAGGTAGGCATCGACCTGGCACTCACAGCTAGGCCCTGAACAGAAGCTGAACATAAAACAATTTCACAGAACATCAACGACCAACAACAGATGAGGCTACTATGTGACCATGAAAGATCAAGACAAAAACAAAATCACTCTGTAATCATATCTAAATGTAGATAAACCTATGAACTTTGTCCAAACCACAGAAATTACCAAACATCCCCAAACACCCCCCTATCCTGGCTAATACGAGTGACTGCTACTGCTTTTCCAGTCACAGCTTTGACCCTACTTCATTTCTCCAGCTTTCTAGGTAAGATTAAGCAAGTCATAGACTTGTTCCCCACTTCCTTCCTGACAACTCCCAAACCATAGAAATATCCTGCTACCTTGAACCCTCCCCCAAATCACCAGACAAATCATGACCATTCCCCATGATGTAGTCCTCCCTTGCTGCGGTAAAACTTGCTCAGCTATAGGTGTGTTTGTTTTGGTCTCTGGCTAGAGAACAATGACTTCAGTTTAAAGATGTATGAATAATGCTTCCTACCCTAGAATGGTTTCCCACCTCTTACATATACCACAAGTAACTCAACGTGCTGAACCATCCAAAATATACTATTAAAACATATTAGACATATTCTAGATATGTATACTATACTAAATATATACTTAAACTATAAAATTCTACCTCAGTCAAGGTGGGACAAAATATAAATCTTATGGCACTCCTTTTAAGGGGGTTTATGCTGCAGTTTGTCAAGTATTTCAGATAGTATTTTGGAGGATGAGCTACAGAGCCAGACTACTTGAGTTTGAATCTCAGCTATGCTACCCACTTTAGGCAAGTCACTTAACCTCTATGTGCCTCACTCTTCTCATATATAAAATTAGTATATTAGAATCAACTTTGTAGCCTCATTATGAAAATAGTGAGTTGTACATAAAAACACTTACAATAGTGCTTAGTACAAAATAAGCTCTATATATTTAAATTTTAACACCAAACAGCAAAATAATTCATGATGAAATCATAAGACTAAAAAGAAGACAAAAATCTATGTTAAAACAATATTTAAAAACAATAATTCCACTACAGATGCAAGAAAAATGTCCTTGCGCTTTCTATCTGCCTGATTGTGGCAGCCAAGATTGAATAGAGGAATACAGGGAAAAAATATGGAGAATTTTCACAATTCAGGAATAGCCTTGTAAATAGTGAAGAACCTGTTTTACCCCAAAGAACCTAAAATTTGAGTTTACTTTAGAAGTGTTGGGAAATGTCCCTTGCCACCCTCACCTGGATGGTTACACTTGTAAAAGCTTAAAGGCTAAAACTAATGAAAAGGCAGTGACTTCTGGGTCCTTTTGGACATGTGAATCCAGTGATTTAGCTATCTGGACTTCACCCTGGTGACTCTGAAGTCCATAATGTCCGAGGCCTGAGGCAGATACTAATCAGGTTTTTAGTGCCCCCTGGTGATTGGAGAAAGCATATTCAAAGAGGTGTTGGAAACTCTAAACTTAACAGTTTTAAGCCTTGATTGCTGATGTTAAAATGTAGGAAGAAGAGCCAGTCTCTGATTTAGGAGGCCATTTGCCCTCTGAAACATACTAACATGAATTTCAGGCAGTGGTCAGTGTTGTGGAAACCAGGGTAACCTGATAAGTGGGAGAGAGGGTCTTGAGGTGACATCTAAGCTGAAATCCAGTTGAGGAGCTAGCTAGCCTCCAAAGTCTGAAAGGGCAGATAAAAATAGCAATGTGAAGAATGGGGGGTACTGGTGGGACCTGGTCCTCCTGTCCCAACGTCTTTTGAAATTTTTCAGATCTACAGTAGAGTCCTTACTTCCCTACAATGTTCTTTACAGCTGTATTCCCCCAACATCCAGATCCAATCAAGGTTCACACATTCCATTTTATTATGTCTTGTTTTTAATCAGGAAGTGACCAACCCCAGCTTTCATGAGTTTTATGATTCTAGGTAGTTATCTTTTAGGCTGCCCCTTATTTTCTGTCTTTTTCTGGTTATTCCTAGAGTTAGGTTAAGGTATTCTGGGCAAAAATAATAGGTAATGTATACTTCTGTACACATCAGAGGCATACGACATTTTGTCTCATTGATTCTAAGTTTGACACAGGTATGTTTCTAGTGGCCCTGGGCTTTGTTAAATGTGTGGAGAACAAATGAATGGAGGAAGAGGACTAATGTCTAGGAAGGCCTTTGGAATGTGACATTTGAATGCAGGTTTGAAGGTGTGGAAGCAGCATGGGTATCAGGACAGACCATTCCAAGCCAAGGGAACAGCAGATGCAGTCAAGTGTGCTTGACATGTTGTGGGAACAAGGTTGCCACTGTGCTGACTCAAGAAGGCAAAAGGGAAGAGTTGAGGTAGAGAAGTTTGAGTGCACAGGGAAAGAGGACCGAATCACACAGGAAACTATAGGAGGGCTTTGAGCGGAAGAGTTATGTCATCTGACAAATTTTCAAAGGATCATTTTCGCTGCTGGGTAGCAGGGTAAAAGTATATAAAGTGTGTAGGCAAGGTGGAAGTGGCTTAGTCTACGGTGGTCGT